TTCTATTTTGTTTTTTAGATAAGAAAATGTTGTATTTAGAACATTGAGAAGGGTAAACGCATTTCATAACACTGACCGTTAGCAGAAATAGAAGTTTCTTCTTCTAAAAAGATCTCTCTTTGTGATGTACTTTCCAACGACTAACTTTGCCTTTTTACCCATTCTTACGGCTCTCTATAAATGCTATCTCTACATCTGCTGGTGAGTTCCGGGCAAGTCAACAGTTGCAGTAATAAAACATACCTTGATGTTGGACTTTCTCAGCTACACCTTAGGTTATTTAAATGGCCACTTTGACCCGATCTTGCCAGTGGTCAGCGACAGTGGCAATTACATGCCCGAAGCGGCCATCTTCACCATGATCATCATTACAGTGGGCAATCTACGTGAGTAAAAGCTGTAGAATTAGTCAACATTTCTCAAAGAAAATAACAACAAACCTCTTTTTTGTTTTCAGTGTTCATTGTCTTCACAATTCGCTACCTGCAAGTTCTGGCCGTCCTCAGCACCGAGCCTGTCTTCAAGCGTCTCCTGTGCACCTACTTTGCAGTGCCCCTGCAGCCTGATGGCACCTTTGGCTACAATGACCACGACATTTCCCACTACCGAGCCAAGTACCGCTGGTGGGCGACGGTCAACTACATCCTCGGCATCAGCTGCTCCTACTCGGCCATGTACGTTGGTGCGTACCGATTCGCCGACAGCTTCCTCTACCACAATTTAGTGGGCATCGGTGTCTTCATCTGCGCACCAGTGTACCTTATCGTCGATATTTTCTTCAGGTATCTATCAATCAATCTACCTCACTGAAATAACAATCATTCTATCTGCAGTCGTTTGATGACCGGCGCGGTAAACAGCCACTACACCGCCACGGTTCGCCACGTGATCGGGGCCATTATGCTAACCAGTTGCATAGTCTTCCATCTCGTTCAAACACTTCTCTTCAACGTGCCCGTTTATCACGAGGTCTTTGTCAATCCACTGAAGCGGCTCTTTTGGATGAGCACCAGTCAGGAGGGGCTGCTGATCCACCTGGTGCACTCAGCAGCAGAATGGATCTACCTCTTCAGTTTGGCCTTCTACGTTTACAGTCTGGCGCCTGATTTTGCGCGTATTAGCTTCAGCAAACTGCAACTGCTGTATGCGTTCTCCAAAGAAGAAGAAGACGTGGAAGGTGGTGGGGATGGGGCTGCAAACACACCATCGTCGAGATCCAGAGACCCAGATAACAGGAGTCGATCGCCATCCGTGAACGGCAGCATAGCGCCAATATTGAACACCCCAATAACAGAGAGATAAGCTTTTTGCCCTGACCATGGGAAAGAAAAGTCAACTAAAAAAACTTGTTACATGATTGCAAATTAACTTTAGACTGTTACTCACACTTAAAAACAACACTTTGATTGTTCAAAAAAATCAAAAACTTTTTAATGTTTTGATCACATGTTTTTTCGGTGAAATGTCTTGCGGCGACGTCATCAAAAACAGTAATCAGCTGGTTTTTATTTATTTACGCCACCAGCAATCCCGCACTCTATTNTTGTTCAAAAAAATCAAAAACTTTTTAATGTTTTGATCACATGTTTTTTCGGTAAGATGTTTTGCGGCGACGTCATCAAAAACAGAAATCAGCTGGTTTTTATTTATTTACGCCACCAGCAATCCCGCACTCTATTTACCCGGTTTTCGGGTAAAGTTACCGGGTTTTTCAGTTCTTTGCTGTTGGCATCTTATCTAGTCAACGAAATGTCCTTTGGAAGAGTGGAAAACTCTCAGTCTGTCTTTTACTGCTATCAAGCAGACGAAATGCAATAATATGAAGTCGCACAATGTCGCAAATGGGTGAAGCAGCACCAGCAACAGCGAACCGCTTTTATGACTCGGTGCCCGCATCATTTCTCCACTTCTTTATATTGTTTTATTTTTAGATCTGTTATCTAATCTCATGCCGTTCAAAAACTGCTGGTGATCTGCTGGTAGATGCAATGATAAATACTCGCTTCACTATCAAACAAAGTCGGTAAGCGGCTGCGGCGAAAGGTGACTTTTAACTTGTAACAAAAGCATTTTGTTATTTACAAATGTCAACGTGGTATTTCAACATTTGTAATAGCGTTTTTTCCAGATTCTATTTACTAATCTAAAATGGTCTCTGAAATGGTACTTTCCACGGACGTTTCAGACGCCGGTTCAGCAGAGCCAAATGATGAGCTGCCGGCGTCAAACCGCAACAACAACAATACCCGACTCTATACCCACTCCTTCTTCGTCTCTTTTCCCTTTGACCTTGGTCAACTTGAGGGTTTACTAGCCAAGCACCTGTGCCAACACTACCCTGGACTGACCTTTTCATTAAAGCTGCAGTCATCAGCCTCATCATCACACAGTCTTCCAGCCGAATCGGCGGTGGTCAGCTTGGCGGCGTACCACTTTGATGGCCACCTTCTTGCCAATGTCCCAGCAGACCACCGCAAGTTGATTCAAAAGGTGCAATTGATGATCAGCTTTGCGACACCGGATCGTCACTGCCACCCATTTGGCTCCACTGTTGCCTACCTTCGGCATCTCCTCCCTCTGCTTGAAACTGCCAACGGTGCACTACCACCGGTGTCCATTCGCCACCTGAATGACAACTTTCTCAACTTCACCGCCAGCACTAGTCTGGACATTGAGGCGGCATACACTCGCCTGCTTGACTTCAGCTCCACCAACGCTCAAGTGGCCACTCTGGTGGACACCATCACCGAGTTCATTGCCCAGCGGATGACCTCTATGGAGGCGCTCTGTCTCAGCTTCAACGGCGGCAAGGACTGCACCGTACTGCTGCACGCCCTCGTCGTGCTGCTCTATCACCACCGCCGAGAGCGACCATTTGAGATGCTCAATCTGCTGCTGATCGAGACGACGGCGCCCTTTCCCGAGCAGGAGCTCTTCATCCGGCGCATCACCACCTACTTTCGCTGCCGTCTGCTCACCTACAAGGCCGCCGACCTGAAGTCCGCTCTGTGGGCGGTGAAGCGCAACAGCGGTGACCGTCTGAAGGACATCTTCATGGGCGTCCGGCGCAGTGACCTGCCCGAGGCGGTCCGCTCCAGCCTGACCACCACTCAGCTGACGGACACTGACCGCGGCTGGCCGGCCTTTACGCGCATCAGTCCGCTGCTCGACTGGAGCTACTCGGACGTCTGGCGGTACATTCGAGCCTTGGAGGTGCCCTACTGTGCCCTCTACGACTACGGCTACACGTCCATCGGTGAGCCGAGCAATACAGTGCCTAATCCGCTGCTAAAGAAGGAGGTAATGTCCGGTGACTTGCCTTTTGGGTCGCCGCTTTCTTCATCAGCGGAAGAGAACTGTTACTACCTGCCTGCGTACCTGCTCGATGAGGAGTGCACAGAAAGAAGTGGCTCTCGAGTGTAGTAACTAAGCAAACAAAGATAAAGTGTGATTATTTATTGTTTTATATACTTTGCTCATTCATTGAATGTCCTTTCTAGTGCAATTTTTACCATATTTTTTATATTCAAAGTTTACCCTTGCAGATGTTTAACTTATTTTTTATCATAAAAAATCTACCACCTTAGCATATCTCAGCATTGATTTTCTCAACAAAAGCATTGACACGTTTTGATAAAGTTGGGGGTTGCTGATAAAAACTGTAATTTGTGGTTGAGAGCGGTTACGTTCCCTTTATCAGTACACGTTGAGTATTACCGCTATCATCCCGTTGTACAGTTGTACCAACCGTACTGGTGGTGAAATAGGCAATGCCATGAACTGCCTANCTTCTCCACAAAAGCATTGACACGTTTTGATAAAGTTGAGGGTTGCTGATAAAAACTGTAATTTGTGGTTGAGAGCGGTTACGTTCCCTTTATCAGTACATGATGAGTATTGCCGCTATCATCCCGTTGTACAGTTGTACCAACCGTACTGGTGGTGAAATAGGCAATGCCATGAACTGCCTACATGATTGGAATTTTATGCGAAAAAACGTTGGATTGCCAAGGGGTACTTTCAAGGGAACAAAAAGACGAGGCTTTATTGTGTTACATCTTTGAATCAAAGGAATAAATAATGAACAATAAAGAATGGAAGACCAGTCAATCAGTTAGTTAGTCAGTCAGTTGAGCATTTTGTTTGTTGTAAGCATGGTCATCACAATCGGTCACAATTAAGGAAGAAGAGAGCATTAGCATTTGTAGAACAGTTTANGAGCATTTTCTTTGTTGTAAGCATGGTCATCACAATCGGTCACAATTAAGGAAGAAGAGAGCATTAGCATTTGTAGAACAGTTTAGTTCAGATCACAACCAGTATTGGGAATGGTCCTCACGGCCGACTCCACCGCCGTCAACGACCGGTCTTTGCGCTTTCGGGCCAGATCGGCGGCCACGGCCACCGCCCCGCCCTGTACAAAGCGGACAAAGTTGTCGCCAACCAAGGGGCCGATGGCGTAGAGGTTACGAGCTGCCAGCGCCTCGTGCGTCACCGTGTTGATGCGCACCGGATTGGAGCGAATGTCCAGCGGCTGGTTCGACTGCAGACCCAGTTTGGCCACCAGTGGAGAGGGCAGAAAGTCCAGTTCTGGTTTTGAGCCGATCAACACCAGCACCAACGAGACGGGAAAGGAGGCGGAGGTGGAGCCAACCGAGTTCAACGGCTGTCCACAGTCGATGCAGATCTGCGACTCGCCAAAGGCGTCCTCGAGGAAGGTCACCGTCGCAGAGCGGTGCCGCCGTTCAGGTGAAATGTGCTGGAGAATGGTGCGGTGATAGGCCTGGTAGGTGGCTGTGGGATGGGCCAGAAAGCAAGGAAGACAGCGAGCGTCGGCGATGCTGCTTTTCATCTGGCGGAAGGTGGCACTGTACTCCGGGTAGAGGTGCTCATTTGAAAGCTGGTTGAAGATCAGCGAACGGTCGGAGACTGACCGGCGGAAGATGTGCACAATGCGAAAGGGCGGTTGCTGACTGGGGTGCAGTTTTTTGTGGTGGTCCGCCAGCATCAGCAGGGCGTCTGCTGAGGAGAGGCCGCTGCCGACGAGGAGAATGATGGGCAGTGCTTGTGGAGGTAAAGTGGCCAATGTCGGCGGAGATGGTTGTGGGGGTGAAGAAGGTGATGGTGGGGAACAGAGTGGCAGTGGAGTAAGGTAGTTTCGTTGAATCTTTGCCGACGAGCCGAGGACGCTGTCCAGCTGGTCGAGTGAGTGCATCACAAAGGGCGCCGCCTCGCCGGGAATGTTCAGCAGCGAAGGAGAGGTGGCATTGGCGCCCGTCGCCAGGACGACCGACTTGGCGAGAAAGCGCGTTCGCGTGAACTTGATCTCGTACTGGACCGGTTTTGGGTGGTGGTGATGGTGGTCCCTCAGTTTGGCGATGCTGCGCAGGTGCTTCAGCAGGTTCAGCGTCGAGTCGCACTTTGACTTTTTGCAGGTTGTTGTGTCGGCGATGGGAACGCATCGTTTGCTGATCGCATCGACGATCCAGCAGTTCAGCCCCTGGCACCAGGTGACCCGCTGGACACGGGTAAAGTTGCGAAAGTACTTGCCCAGGTGGAAGTGCTCCACGTAAGAGCGGTAGTAGGTGGCAATGTTGTCAAAAGAGACGCGCATCGTCGGACTGATAGCATTCTCCTTCGCCTCCTCCTCCTCCTCTTCTTCGGCCTCTTCTGTTGACTCGCTATTATGATGCTGCTGTGGAATGTCCATCTCCGGCAGTTGCATCCACTTCTGGCGTGACACCGTCAGGACGGTTTTTGACTTTCTCAGACTGTACCAGAGGCCGCCTGGTAGGCCGGTGCCGAGGACGACGTGGTCGATGGCCCGCTCCGGGTGGTACTCCCACCGCAGCTTCGACTTCTCCCCACCGCCAAAGTCAGTGTTGGGCGACATGAGCTGGTCAAAGAGGACTGAAACGCGGTTCAGACTGCGTCCACTCAGGCCCTGGCTGAGGGCCTCCAGGTCGACGTCGAGTAGACACTGCTCCGGACCGAGGTTGCTCAGTCGGGCCTGGAGGAAGTCGATTGGGTGGCTGCTCGAGTCGAGGTACGGCAGACGACCGGAGAGCATGAAAGAGAGGGTGATGGCGGAGGGACCATTGCCGACCACCAGCACGTCATGCGTCTCAATGGTGTCCGGTGTGAAGCGACCTCCGGGCGGGTCCTCGGGCCAGCTTCCTCCTCCTCCTTCTGTGTTGCTGCCGCCGGAGCAGGTCCGGGTTCGGTGGCAGTTTCGAGGGTTCATTCTGAACTGTCTGGAAGAGTATTTGAAAAGTGTTTGGGTTTTTATCGTCTTCTCTTTCTGCTCCCAGCATCAGCGGTGTTGTTGTTGTTGTTGATTTTCAGCAGAGGATAAGACGGCTTGTGTTTCAGTGGCAGGCAGGATGGCAGAAGTCACTGCACAGCAGGATCGAAAAGGGCAAAGATCGATAGATCTTCTGAGATTTGTGTATTTAGCTGAAGGAAAAAATTTTCCGCCAAAAGATTACGAGGACGAGGGGAAAGAGCAGTGTAGTATGATGACGCTGACTGAACTTTCCTTCCCTTTTTAGTCAGTGACACTTTTTGGGAAAACTGGTTTTCAGTCAGAGGACACTGGACTAGTACACTCAAGCCGGTTGAGCAGGATTAAGTACTCTCAGTGTGAGTTAGCGCAATTTTTAAATCAGTTTTTTGCTGAGATTTAACAGTACGTGTTTGCCGAAGTGCTGGTTGTCATGTGGAATCAATGATTTGTTGCGGTAAAACATTCATTTTAGTGTTTTCAAATAGATGAAAGGTGCGCTTAAAGTAAAAGAAGAAACTTCACCGTGACGACGACAGTTTATTACTGATTATGATGATGATGATCTTTTTCAGTGAATCAAGGTATAAAAATCAATGACCAAGTAGCGGAGAAATTGTCGTTTCCTGTACGCTTTTCACTGCGGACTGTACGGCAGTGGTATGGAAGAAGACTACTGTTTTTGTACGACAGCTTGCCTGTTCCGCATTGACTGCTACTGCTGCTGCCGCTGCTGCTGCTGGTGCGACTGGTGCAAAGTGACGTGCAGTGTGTTGATGCAATGCACAATGAACGTGCAAAGAAGGAATGAGAGAGAGTGACTGAGAGTAGAAAAAGAAAAGGCCATGCGACTGTTGGCTTGCTGCTTCTGTTGGTGGTGGTGGTGGTGGTGGTGGTTNGAGAAGGAATGAGAGAGAGTGACTGAGAGTAGAAAAAGAAAAGGCCATGCGGCTGTTGGCTTGCTGCTTCTGTTGGTGGTGGTGGTGGTGGTGGTGGTTGTGGTAGAAGTGGAAGCGCGTCTACACTTGAATTGAGGCCACTGGAGGCCAGTGCGCGGAGACTAAATAGGCGGCCGAGAGTGCGGCAGAGTGCGCCCACTGCGCCGACAGTGTACGGGTAGTCTGCAGACACCACTGTACAGTGGGGGACAACCAGCACTGTAGCCAGCACTGTAGATCCGGGAAAAAGTAGGCAAAGGAGAGGAGGGGCAACGGCTCAATTCGAGACTGAAAAAGATGTACAGATTCAGTGTAGAGGTAGAATGCAGGTGCTGCTCAAGGAATAATGGTGTAGAGGTAGAAGGGAAGGGGAAAGGCTTCAGTTGAATGATTCAATAAAGTGTCCAGCAGCTGCTGCAGCTGCTGCACTTCCTTTACTTCTTCTTCAATGCGATCAGCGCGACAATCAAGGTCGCTTCGATTGTAGTAGTTTGTGAGTAATAGTGGTGGTGATGGTGGTGACTGGCTGACAAAGGGAGGATCATCACCGAAAGCAAATGAAGCGGCACAGCTGTGTGCATAGCTGATGAGCACGTGAAAAATAACAAACTAGCAAACTGCACAATTACAATATGTACTTTTTCACTTGTCTCTGCGTGCTTAGTAGCATGTGCAAAAAATGTTTCAACTGAAAAAGTAATAAATGAACACGTCTTCTTTAAGAGTTTTTTCAGTTGATTGTACCTAATGTGCGTCAAATGTTGAAAGCATAATTTGCCACTTTGACACTTGATACTTCTCCCGTCTCTCTTTCAGTCCATTACTCAAGTAGANTTTAGTAGCATGTGCAAAAAATGTTTCAACTGAAAAAGTAATAAATGAACACGTCTTCTTTAAGAGTTTTTTCAGTTGATTGTACCTAAGTGCGTCAAATGTTGAAAGCATAATTTGCCACTTTGACACTTGATACTTCTCCCGTCTCTCTTTCAGTCCATTACTCAAGTAGATGTAATGAAAAGACACTTTCCACTGATGAGGTTGAACGAGTAATCAAGGCGATGAGCCATCAATCAGCACTTGAGCACTGGTCGGTGTTGGCCTCGCTGCTGCAGCAACGGGAAGAGGAGAAAGTGCATAAAGTCCCTATCAGGCTGTAGGAGTGCTACTTTGAGTTGCTTACTAGTAGAGCAGCACAAACGCAC